ACAGTACTCACCTCACCTTTTTTTCTACCTTTGTGTCTGTGTCTTTAACATCAGTGAACCACTCACCTGTTCCCCCTCTCCAATTTTTCTCACTTTGATGTTCCTGTGAAGCCCGAAGTCAACCAAAGGGCTAATGACAACTATCCAAACTCCTGCCATTTGAAATAAATAAATAAAGTTTACAATTTAAAGTTTAAAAAGTAATCAAATTTTAAAAGGTAATTAGAACATTCTGCCGGCCTTTTCCTTTATTCCATTATGTCCACGTGGTACATCCTGGACAACGTATATTAATACGGCAAAAAAGTCTATCACTCGGCATTTGGCTTCTATTTATTATGATTAGCTTGAAACGAAGATATAAGAGAAATTGCCCTCGTCAGGGCGAATCACAACTTCTACAGATCCTCCAGTGGAATGCTGGAGGGATGTCACAGGACAAAAAGATCCAAGTCCAGAAAATTCTACGAACCTATGATGTAAATATTTTCTCAATTATGGAAGCAAACCTTTCGGATGGCAAACTGAAATACTACCAATTCCCATGTTACACCTTATACCTTCTACCTAAATACCGGCAAGTTGCAAGTGGGATTCTGACTGGAGTAAAAGTAGGCCTCACATCATATTACGATCTAATCAAGAGTATGGGCTCGAGGCAAGACATATGCAAAAAAATCCGATTAAATGTTTGGAAACGTCAAAGCCACTTCAAGATTTACGCAGTCTATAATCCAACCCAGAATAGTCCTAACTTTGATTCCCTGAACATTTCACACAAAACTATAGTATTAGGAGACTTCAACGTCCATTCCACTGTAAGAATACAAACATTGCTGGAAAGGAAATCGAAGACATGCTAAACAGCAACCCTCTAGAACTTATTTATAGCAATGAGGATTCGGCTACATATTTGCACTACAATGGAACCAGTACAACTCCTGACTTGCTCCTGTCTTCAAGCGACATCAGCGAGCATACACATTGCAAAATAGTTAACAATCCTGGTTCTGGTCACAAACCATTCATTGCTAGTATTACCATCGGCAGCAAAAGCATGACAACGAAAGTGCCAACCAAGCTATCATGGAACTTCAAGAAGGCTGACTGGCCTAGATTCACAATCATTTTAAAGAATGAACTTCACACAAGTCCCCTCAACTTCAACCAACATCCTGACAAACTTTGCAACAAAATCACAAATATTATGATCAGATGTGCAAAGAAAACCATTTCATGTGGTATAAATAAACACTATCGAGTGTTTTGGTCTAAACACCTTGAGGAAGCCTATCGAGTGTTTTGATCTAAACACCTTGAGGAACTGAAATGAGTGTTTTGGTCTAAACACCTTGAGGAACTGGAAAGATAGAGGGACGCTCTTTGGAGGAACTGAAAAGAAAGCGGGACGCCCTTCGCAACACCTAGACTGGAAGAATGGAAGACGTACAAGCCTGGAGACGACAGTCAGCTGTCTTAAGACAAGCCATCTTACAAGCTAAACGCACTTCCTTCGACAAGTTCATCTCAAATATCAACTATCAAAGTGATAACCAACGCACTTTCAAATTTCTACGTAACCTCCAGAACAACAAGGAAAGACCCAAGAAAGAAACAATACGTTTAAAAAACAAACTGCTTACCACCGACTCAGAAATAGCTAACTGCTTTGCGAGGTCCTATTCCCACAAGGACTAGAAAAACACTTTTGTCAGAAAATCTTCAAGAGATTTAAAGATACTTTGTCAGAAAATCTTCAAGAGATTTAAAACTACAAGTAAGAAAAAATCTTCAAGAGATTTAAAGATACAAGTAAGACAGTTTGGTGAAATTAAGGAAGACTAACAACACCAAATAATGTTCTTACTGAACCATTCAGACCTTGCGAACTTAATGCTTCAAAAAGTCTCATGGCGAAGACGGTATTCATCCCGAATTTCTATTTAGAGTGGGACCAAAAGCCAAGGAAACCATGCTAACGCTTTTCAACAATATCTGGAAGACCAGTCTCGTACTTAACCAATGGAAAGTTGCCATACTAATACCAGTACTAAAATAGGGCAAAGACGAACTATAGGCCTATCTCCCTCACAAGCGTACTGGCTAAACATATGAAAAGAATGGTTAACAGGAGGCTGACCTGGTTCCTTGAGGCCAACAATATTCTGTGCAGGTTTTAGGTCACAAAGATCAACGAACCAACAAGTAGACACTTTCTTGTTTTAGGCCACAAAGATCAACGAACCAACAAGTAGCCACATTAGGCCACAAAGATCAACTAACCAACAAGTAGCCACTTTTCCCAACATATAGAAGATGCCCTTGATGCAAGAAATACACTTACGGCTGTAATGCCCATGATGCAAGAAATACTCTTACGGCTGTATTCACCTCCCTTGATGCAAGAAATACTCTTACGGCTGTTTTCGTCGGTTTCAAATCAGCATATGACTTAGTATGGAAAGAGAAGCTAATTCGAAAATTGGTGCAAGAAATACCCTTGCGGCTGTTTTCGTCGATTTCAAACGCATATGACATAGTATGGAAAGAGAAGCTAATTCTAAAATTGGGACTTAGTATGGAAAGAGAAGCTAATTCTAAAACTTGGCACTTAGTATGGAAAGAGAAGCTAATTCTAAAATTTGCGAAAATTGGGATTAAGCATAACATGCTAAACTGGATAAAAGCATTCATTTTACAAAGCATAACATGCTAAACTGGATAAAAGCATTCATTGGTCAAAGATCATGTAAAGTCAGATGGGGTGTGCGATAGACTTACCTCCATGTGGTACACCCTGGGCAACATATACACATTCGGCAAAAAATCTATTAACCGGCAGTTGACCTCTGACTTCAATCTACCATAACCCCACTGTATGCCATATTCGACCACTACCGCAGTACTCATTTTACCTTTTTCTTTGCCTTTGTGTCTGTCTGCCTCTTTTACATCTGTGAATCGCTCTTCTGCTCCCCTTCCTCGACTTTCTGCTATTTTGATGAACCTTCCCTCTGTAAATAAATAAATGTAAAGTCAGATATGGAAATGGTATATCAAAATCCAATCTTTTCAAACATTGGAAATGCTCTATCAAAATCCAATCTTTTACAAACAGCTTAAATGCTCTATCAAAATCCAATCCTTTACAAACAGGCCTTTCACAGGGGGTCCACAGGAAGCTGTCACAACCTGCACTCTTTTCAATGTCCTCATCAATGACATAGCCGAATTGAGCATTAAGTGCTTACTTTATGCAGATGATCTTGTTCTATGATTTTCCGCCCCTAAGAAAAACGCTCAGGAGTGGACGGAAAGTGCCCTTGATTGTGCACTTAAACTACTAGCAAACTGGTACAACAACAATGGAATGGTTATCAGCACCGCGAAAACTGGATTCCAAACATTTTATTTGGCCCATCACAGCATAAACCCGCATTTATTGTACAAGGATACTACCCTAGAAAAGATTAATGAGTTCACTTACCTTGGAATGACGTTTGACACAGGGCTAACATGGAAAAGTCACATTGCTAAAGTAGCAGAACGAGTCTCCAATAGAATGAATGTACTGAAGCGTCTTGCTGGTAGCGTATGGGGCTGTGCGCGCTCAACTCTCAACACCACTTTCAAGATGTTTATGCCGCCAATAATGTTGTATTGCTGTGAGCCACTCGAGAAGGCACACAACCAAGCATTACGACTAATTACTGGTGGATAAAATCAACACTCATTAATGCAATGCTCTTGGTCACAAGGGGCACCACAATATGTTCCCTTATCAAAGAGAAGGTCATGATCCTGTATGAGAAGCTACTGCGCATTTCCATGAATAAATTCTTCAGCACTTATGGACTGTACATTTCCATGAATAAATTCTTCAGCACTTATGGGAATAGACCAAAACATCTGAAAACGCAATCTGGTCTAATACAGAATGTCATAAAACTGAAGAAAGCATTACAAATCGATGGCAAACCAAAAAGTCTCCCTCTACCCATGATGAACACTAATGTAGTGTGTTGCACTCCTCCAGAGCAAATGCGCTCACTGGCCCTTGAGACAATCAAGCAGATCAATGGATCCAAGTCTTCACTGATGGGTCATACATGGAAAGGCTCACTGGTACTTGAGACAATCAATGTCAACTATCCTGGTCATCAATGGCTCCAAGTCTTCACTGATGGGTCATACATAGAAAACCAAGCAAACGTTGGTGCAGGTATCTACTCTGAACTCTTCTCTTTCTACGCAGCAGAAGGGCACACTAGATCCGCTTTCGAAGCATTAGGCGGGGTGTGCGATAGACTTACTTCCACGTGGTGCACCCTGGGCAACGTATACTCATACGGCAAAAAAGTCTATTAACCGGCAGTTGACTTCCCACTTCAAACTACCACGACCGCCCTGGTTGTCATATTCGACCCCTTCTGCTGTACTCACCTTACCTTTTTCTCTACCTTTGTGTCTGTCTGCCTCTTTTACATCTGTGAATCGCTCTTCTCTTCCCCACCCTTCGACTTTCTGCTACTTTGATGAACCTCCCCTCTGTGAAGCCCGAAGTCAGCTAAAGGGCTAATGATAAGTGTCATAAAGCCCGTCATTTGAAATAAAAAATAAATGATAGCATTAGGTCAATTATGTTGCCTCAATACGAAATTCACCAAAGCAGTAATACTTTCGGTTTCACAGTTAGCAATAAACTCAATTGGAAACATAGAGCCACCCAAAATAGCTGAGGTATACGAATGTAAAAAACTGTATCAGCTGCTGAGAGAGAAAAACAAAACAGTGGTCCTACAATGGATTCCTGGTCACTGTGGCATTAATGGCAATGAGCTTTCTGACGCACTTCCTAAGAAGGGGACAACAGTTCTGCAAGGCAAAGACCGGCCGATGCCTTTCCACACAATTAAGGCCTTAATCAGGAGAGAATTCAAGACCTCAATGTGCAACGAACTTACAGCTAGAGCAAAGGAGAAAGAGTGAACAGTGGCACTCTCCGACATTGCCGACTGGCCAAGAATCGAAGCCGTTGCTGAGTTTAGACTACGTACCGGATACAATTTCCTGACAAAACACCTTCACAGATTAGGAGTATACACTCAACCCACATGCCCTCTATGTAACCCACAGGAGGAAATGGAGAAGACCCACCTTATTCGGTGTCCAGCCCTAAAGACAATGACGGAAAGCCAGAGGTACTGTAAAGCAAGAAGGCAGCTAATGAACTTCTATTAATTAACCGCTTTATATGTACCCCCACCCTTGGGAAAGCTGAAGACAAAGTTTAAGGGCTAATGATAAATATCATAAAGCCTGCCATTTGAAAAAATTCTTTCAACCAATTCGTATGACTCATATGTTCTTTAAATAAATGGCAGGCTTTATGA